TAAAAATACAAAAAATTAGCCAGGCATGGTGGCGGGCGCCTGTAGTCCCAGCTATTCAGGATGCTGAGACAGGAGAATGGCGTGAACCCGGGAGGCAGAGCTTGCAGTGAGCTGAGATCGCACCACTGCACTCCAGCCTGGGAGACAGCGAGACTCCGTCTTAAAAAATATATATATATATATGCCAGGTGCAGTGGCTCATGCCTGTAATCCCAGCACTTTGGGAGGCTGAGGTGGGTGGATCACTTGAGGTTAGGAGTTCCAGACCAGCCTGCTTAACATGGCGAAACCCCACCTCTACAAAAAATGCAAAAATTAGCCAGGCGTAGTGGCATGCACCTGTAGTCCCAGCTACTGGGGAGGCTGAGGCAGGAAAATCACTTGAACCTGGGAGGCAGAGGTTGCAGTGAGCCAAGATCACACCACTGCACTCCAGCCTAGGCAATAGAGCGAGACTCCATCTCAAAAAAAGAAAAAAAATATACATCAGTGTTGTGTAGGCAAAAAGTATTGACACATAGAAATATGGAACAGAATAAAGAATCTAGAAATAGTTTCATGTGAATATAGTCAGTTGATTTTGACAGAAGTGTAAAGGCAATTCAATGCAGCTTTTTATATTGGTTTCCTATAGCTACTGTAAAATATTACCATAAACATAGTGGTTATTATAAAACAATACAACTTGATTATTTTACAGTTCTGGCAGTCAGAAGCCCAAAAATGGGTCTTACATGGTAAAATCAAGGTATCAGTAGAGACATGTTGTTTCTGGAGGCTCTAGGGGAGAATCTCTTCCTTGCCTTTTCCAGCATCTAGAGGCTGCCTACATTCCTCAGTTCCTGGTTCTCGGCCCCTTTCAGCAAGGACATCACTCCAGTCTCTGGTTCTGTCATTACCTCTCCTTCTCTGACTCTGACCCTCCTGCATTTTTCATAAGGACCCTTGTGATTACATTGAGCACACCTGGATGATCTTTACAACCAGTGATGGAACTGAACATCTATATGCAAAAAACAAACAGACCTTGGCCAGGCATGGTGACTCATGCCTGTAATCCCAGCACTTTGGGAGGCCAAGACAGGAACATCACTTGAAGCTGGGATTTCAAGACCAGCTTGGGCTACATGGCAAGATAACACCTGCCCAGAAAAGGTTTTTAAATAAAAAATTAGCTGGGTGTGGATGGCACATGCCTGTAGTCCTAGTTACTCAAGAGGCTGAGGCTGGAGTATTGCTTGAGCACAGAAGTTCAAGGCTGCAGTGAACTGTGATCATGCCACTGCACTCCAGCCCAGGCAGTAGAGCAAGACCCTGTCTCTAAAAAATAAACAAATATTGAAAATATTTTAAAAGATATGGGTAAGGAAATGAAAGGCAAACCAAAGACTGGGGAAAATATTTGCAAATCATATGTTTGACAAAGAACTTGTTTCCCGCATATTCAAAGAACTCTCAAAATGCAGAAGGAAGAAAACCTTATTTTTTTAATCACAAAAAATGTGAGCATTCACTTCATCAAATAAGATATACAGATGTCCGAAAAAGCACATCAAGAGATGTTCAACATTACTAGTCATTAGGGAAATACAAGTGAAACTACAATGAAATACTACTACATACCTATTAACAAGACTACTTACGCGCGCACACACACACACCCCCCAAAACTGAGGATACCAAGTGCTGATGAGGACGTGGAGTAACTGGAACTCTTACACATTGCTGGTGAGAGTGCAAAATAATACAGTCACTTTGGAAAGCAGTTTGACAGTTTGTTTTAAAGTTAAACATACACTTAACAATATGATCTAGTTACCCCACTTCTAGATATTTATACAAATATAATGAAAACATATGTTTGTACAAAAAAAAACCTGTATGTGAATGTTTATTGATGCCTTATTCATAATCATCAAAACCTAGAAGCAACCCAAAGATCCCTCAACTGGGGAATGAATTAAAAATGTAAACAAACTATGGTACATTTATACAATAAATGAATACTCAGCAATAAATGAGAGTAAACTATTGTTACATGAAACATTGCAAGTGAATCTCACATGCATTATGTTCAGTGAAAGAAGCCAGACTCAACCACACATTATATGATTTCCTTGATAATGACATTCTGGGAAAGGCAAACCTATAGGAACAGAAACGAGATTAGTAATTGCCAAGAGTTAAGAGTGGAGCAAGTGTTTGACTACAAAGAGGTAGCTAGACAGAAATTTTTTTGAAGGTGGGTGGAGTGATGGAACTATCCTATAACTTACTTATGGCAGTGGTTACAAGACCTCCAGGCACTCATCGAAACTCATAGACTGTCCACCAAAAAATAGTGAAATTTATTAAATGTAAACTTCTAAAACAAATGTTTAAAAAAGAAGAAAAAGGTATATGAGGTCAAATGTCCTGTATGCCTTCATGTTAGAGAATGAGTTCCCTATGTCAGGGATCGGAAGGAAGGAAAGAAGGAAGGAAGGAAGGAAGGAAGGAAGGAAGGAAGGAAGGAAGGAAGGAAGGAAGGAGGAAGAGGGAGGAGGGAGGGAGGGAGGGAGGGAGGGAGGGAGGGAGGGAGGGAGGGACTGCCAGCCCACCTGCATGCCTGCTGAGAATTTTCAGTGAGAGTTCTAAGAGCTTTTGGGTAGGTGTGCAGATGTCTTTTCTATACACCTTCTTCAAGTGACAGTAGTATGAGCATTTGATTAAACGAGACACCAAATCAGAAAATTCTTTATAAATTGAAAGTGTACTACAAACACCAGATATGTTACTGCTGAAGGAAGAAACAATCTAGATATTCATGTGTTTTAAGATTGAGGCTCCTGAAAGGCCATAAAACAAGTACCCCAGGTTTTTAAAGAGCCGCAGGAAGTCCCTGTCCAGAGATGAAGTGACATGTGGTTAGTGTGATCAATGCAGTGCAAAGCCACCGTTAATGACCATCCATAACATCTCCCCTTCCTGATTTGCCATCTGACAAAATGCCCCGTGGAGGGCTGGAAATGGAGGATTAATCTAATCTCAGCATTTTTCTGAGAAGGAAAATGAAACTCCGAAAAAGGAGACTCCCAAGGTCACACTATGAGCTGGAGGTAGAATTGGGGCTTCAAGGCAGAATGTTCTTGACTGGATGCCATTTCAATGGCGGTTTTAAGTGGTTTGCAAAATACTAGTCCTTCTGACTTCCCCGCAGGTAAACCCAAATAACCAGATTGGAAGATTACCAAAGTGGACAAAATATTCTAAAGACATAAAAGGGGGAAAAAAACAATTCAATGTTCCTGTAAAGAGAAACTTCTGTCCAAAGAAATATTTTAAATTTGAGAATTGTAACATACTTTTTGTTACAATCTGCCAGAGGACTTGATTTCTCTGAACTCTCCAATGCAAGGGAACAATGATGTGATTGAGGGTGTTTCACTTTAGTGTTTCTCAACCTCTAAATATGAGCCATTCTCTGCATCTAAATATGAGCCAACCTATGTGGGATCTGAAGTTGTTTTAAATATAAATTGCCAGGGGGAGAAGTGGACCTTAAGGCTTTTATCTGCAGATTTAAGAATTGACTTTCCCCAAGTTTAAAAAGAGAAAAGACCACTTATAGAAAATCTCTAATACATCTCTGTACTCCCAGTCCTGGAAAAGAGAATTTCAGAAAGAAGCTGTTGCCAGGTGTTGATATTTCTTTTTGGATCAAACCTAATATTCAAGTCAATTTTTATAGGTTGAAATTATTGAAGAAAGAAAGCAAAAGACCAAAAAGCAGCAAAAAGATCCCCCTTTCAACTCCAGAGAATGCAGAACTTAAAAAAATAAAATTAAAGAAAAAAAAAAACTTGACGGGTTATCTTTGGACAGGTAGAAAGTTCAGTTTTGTGAGCACTCCATTCAATATGGTATGTGGTTGTGAATCTTGGAGAACTAAAGCCAAGCTTCTACCCTTCTTCCCAGAAGGCTCCCCACTCACAATAGGAGAGAAGCCAGAGGAAAGGAAATTATCATGGAGATTCATCTTGATGCAAAGGTGGGAGCCTTTATTTATAGATACCGCATGTTTCTTGCAGCTGAATGGCTTGCTTTCTGACAAGACACATTTGAGATCATCATATGCTCAAATTTACTAGCAGACATTATACAGTAAATTATGTCTGACTTTAAAATCATGCCTGATTTATGTGCACAGCAGAGCCCTGTAAGTATGACTATCACAATGTCAATAGGCAGTGTTTAAGTCCTAATAGTCTCCCTATGAGCATTTACGAACATCTTCTTTTTTTTTTTCAAGATGGAGTATCGCTCTGTCGCCAGACTGGAGTGCAGTGGTGCGAAATCTTGGCTCACTGCAACCTCCGCTTTCTGGGTTCAGGGGATTCTTGTGCCTTAGCCTCCCGAGTAACTGGGATTACAAGCACAAGTCACGACACCCAGCTAATTTTTGTATTTTTAGTAGAGACAGGGTTTCACCATGTTGGCCAGGATGGTCTCTGTCTCCTGACCTCATGATCCGCCCGCTTTGGTCTCCCAAAGTGCTGGGATTACAGGCGTGAGCCACCGCTCCAGGCCAAACATCATTCATTGTTAAAGAGATAAAGAGAGTTAGTGAATTAGCAAATGACAGGCAGAAGAAGGATTTTTGTTTTGTTGTGTTTTTACTTTCCATATCAAATAGTCTGCTTACCACAAATTTCATCGAGCAAACATCTGGAGATGGAAGATGGAACAGCTGTAAGTTAGTGCCTCTTCCTTGTCATGGGACAACTTGCCTCTCTGAGCCTCAGTGTTTTTGTTTTGTTTTGTTTTGTTTTTGAGACAGGGTCTCACTCTGTTGCCCAGGCAGGAGTGGGAGTGCATTGGCACAATCCCAACTCACGGCAGTCTCAACGTCCTGGGCTCAAGCAGTCCTCCCACCTTAGCCTCCCGAGTAGCTGGGACTATACAGGTATGCACCACCATGCCCAGCTAATTTTGTTTTATTTTTTTGTAGAGACTGGGTCCCACTCTGTTGCCCAGGCTGGTCTCAGACTCCTGAGCTCAGGCATTCCTCTCACTTCGGCCTCCTGAAGTGCCACAGGTGTGAGCAGCCATGCCCAGCTATGGCCTCGGTGTCTTCATCTGAAAAAGAAGATGGCGACACCCACTTTGTGGTGCTGTTGTCAGGCTCTAATAAGGTATCTTGAGTTGTATTACTTAGTAAATGGTAAAGTACTATGAAGTGTGAGGGAGTGTTTGGGGTTTTTTTTTCCTTGTAGCATTTTTTTTTTTTTTTGCCCCCGATGAAAGGGAAGAAATGAGGAATGGCTTCAGCATCAAAGTATACTCCCCGTCAGCGTATCTCACCACTGGCGACTCACCCTTTGAATGAAAACCACTCACAAAATATTCCACGTGAGTGCTGAGTCTGTTGATTTCTTGCTAGTAAGGGAGAATTGTCAGTCAGAATTTGAGCAGATGGTTGTCCCCCAGCATCAGGCTTATTTACAATTTAGAAAGGGAACTTCACAACTATTCTATATTAACTTGGGATTGCAGTGATGGAGATACTTCATTCTGTCACTAGCAAACCCCATAATCAAATTCCAGTATCCTTATCTGTCCCTTTCATTGGATCTTTTTCAAGCAATTTGATGGTTACATACCAAATATGGTCCTCTAGTCATTTTAATTCCCCACTTTATAGCTGTTGTTGCCAATTGGCTACCCATCAATTCTGCTCATACTGAGAACTCTGCCCTTTCCCTATCTAGCTGTAATCTCCTATTTCTGCATTTTCCTTGTAGACCCACGTCTATTGGTTTTTCTGTCCCTACTGAGTTTTTCCCCCTTTGGCTATGGTAGATCTGCACCATTAATGGAGAGTATCCAACTAAGACAGTTCTTTTTCAGATATCTTGGATAAATACAATTTATCCACTCGTGGGCTCAGAGCAATCATTCACACTTTAGTATAAATGGATATTTAAAATCTATTTAGCTATTTTGCATTCATAAGAACACACAAGATTGAAGATGTGTAAAAGAGAAAAAAGGAGGGACATAATTTACAAGTTTATATCAGCCAGACAGTAATAATCCCCTGAAGAGAGCCTAACTTTTAGTTTTCACTTGGTCCCTCTCTGCTGTTAGCTTGATCAGCTATCTCCCCTCTGCTCTTTGGAGGGCATCACTGTAACTCCAGGGACAGTTTGCACAAGGGCTGCAGTGGCAATCTCAGGTGTGGCATGTGGCAAAGGTATCAGTCTTTCCTGTCTTGCCAGTCATTCCCCCAGCCTGATTCCCCTATGTCAGTGATGATAACATGGCCCAGATTGTTTTCTTTCTTTTCAATAAATGTGATTATTTATGTTTTGGGAGACTTTTCAGATAAAAATATCAAAATCTTTTTTTTTTTTTTTTTTTTTGACACAAGGTCTCACTCTGTTACCCAGGCTGGAGTACAATGGCACAGTCTCAGCTCACCACAACCTCTGACTCCTGGGTTCAAGTGATTCTCCTGCCTCAGCCTCTTGAGCAGCTGGAATTACAGGCATGCGCCACCACTCCCAGCTAATTTTGTATTTTTAGTAGAGACAGGGTTTCTCCATGTTTTTTTAGGCTAGTCTCAAACTCCCTACCTCAGGTGATCCACCTGCCTTGGCCTCCCAGAGTGCTGGGATTACAGGCATGAGCCACCACACCCGGCCTCAAAATCATTTTTAAAAATTCTTTGCCATTCATAAGTTTTGCTTTGGGGTTCAGAAAATATGGCTGCCTCTGCTTTGCCCAGATGTCAGGGATCACCTTTTCCAAGGCATGCCCACAGCCTGGGGAAGTGAGACCTAGGGAGCATCCTGCTTTGTGCTGAAACTCTCTAAACTCTCAGTCAAAGTCATTTTACTGCTGTCACAAAACCGGGCCTGAAAAACGAAACTTAAAAAGGTCATTTGACTCCCTCGCCTTAGGTCAGGGCCAAAATGTTCATAAGAGCCTCTTCTAAAACGAATCCCCTTTCACTTTATCTAGTGGTGCGGCCTCAGCTATAACAGGGAGACGATCTTTGCCACAAAGATAACCAGTCTGAGTCTCATGGTCCAGTGGTTATCTTTGTATGTTTCTAAGTCAGCCTTCATTTCCTCTTTCTTAGTCATACCAGCTTATTCTATTTGAGGCTGTCTTCCTCTACGTGGTAAATGAACGTTCATTTTCCTGGGTTTTATACAAGTATAAAGCCCTGCTCTCTCCACATAATTTCACTGTGGCATGGTCATGCTGACATGACAGAATGACATGAAGCCTGTAATCCCAGCACTTTGGGAGGCCGAGACAGGCGGATCACAAGGTCAGGAGATCGAGACCAGCCTGGCTAATACGGTGAAACCCCGTCTCTACTAAAAAATACAAAAAACTAGCCGGGTGAGGTGGCGGGCGCCTGTAGTCCCAGCTACTCAGGAGGCTGAGGCAGGAGAATGGCGTAGACCCGGGAGGCGGAGCTTGCAGTGAGCTGAGATCCCGCCACTGCACTCCAGCCTGGGCGACAGAGGGAGACTCCGTCTCAAAAGAAAAAAAAAAAAAAAAAAAAAAACAAGACAGAATGACATGACAGAGTTAGCACTCTAGATAAAAGAGAAAACTAAGATCAGAGTCATGTTCGGCTCATAATATGGGCTAAAGACCAAAGGTCCATTCCAGTTAGTGTTTAGGATCAGACTGCCTCCAGTTGGTTCTGCTACTTCATAGCTATATGACCTCTCTGGGCCTCAGTCTCCTTCACTGTCACATGACGATCACCTCACCACACCAGTGGGCTTCCGTGAGGGCGAAATGAGATCGTAAGGAGGCCAGCACGCTGACTCCCATATAATCAATGCATCTGTTTGAACCCATCATTTATCTAACACACTCTAAAAGCATTTCTGTAACATCTGTGCAAACTCGCGGGGCTGTCCTCGGCACGGTTTGTCAACCCCTCCTCTGGATGGTTGTTCCTCCCTTTACCATCGTTGACTCCTGCACTGCAATGGGATCTGGCCAGCTCTAGGTAGGTTACACTTCAATTTCCAAGCCAATTTTGAGAGGGAATAGAAAAAATACTCTGTCTTCTCTGCTCAGCACTCTCCGCTTCTTCCTGAAACTGTGGTTCACATGGGAAGTACCTTTCCCTTCCATGGCCACAGCTGAATACTCCAAAACGTGCAGCTTTCCAAACCAGAACCCTTAGAGGCATTCCTGGAAATCTTTGGAAATGGAATGAAGAGAAGACTGTTCTTAACCTGCGGTAACAGCCTTGGGGAAGGGGACTTGGAGCCGTTAGCAGTCATGTTCCTGGCTGTGTGGACAAGGTCAATGTGCTAGGACAGAGAATCAAACTAATAAACAGGCAGAGTTGAGAGATGAGTGAAGGCATCTGGGGGTGCTCTTGTCTGTCCACTCTTCCTGAAGCCTGGCTGATCAACCTGTGCTTTATGGCATAAGCTCCCTCATTGTTTCAGGTGGGGTTCTGTGCTTGCAACCAAGCAGCGATGCCTAAGATGAGGGGCAAACATTCATTCAACCTGGATGTGTCCCAAGAGAACTTCCCAGTCTCCAACCCCTCCCTGGCCTACTCTGTAAGGCTGGGCTCTATTTTAACCCCTACACTCTTGCTGATCTGTTGGTGTATTCTGTCTGGCATCTCAGTCTATCAATAAAATAATAATCATAGGTATGACTTGAGGGTCTCTAGTACAATAAGCGTTTTACATCTATTATTAATCTTCATTGTGCTAAGTTAAAATTTCAAAAGGTAAAATCATGACTCTCGTGCAAATGTGAAATGAACCCATGCTATGGGTTTTATTCAACTCATTAATTAATAGGGAATCCAGTAAGATGTAAAAACTGGTGCACATAAGAATTTGAGTTACAGAGATTTATATTCTTGACCAGAGAAAATTAATTGGCATTGCTATGAGCAGGAATTGTTACCATCAATTTTCTATAACTTAATTTCTACTGTTAGTTGTATTTTTTAAAAGGCTAGTCACTGCTTCTCAGCCTTTTGGCTGATATCAAGTGTATAAAAAAAAAAAAGCCTAGCCAATGGCAAGTCAGTGAAATGTGCACACCCCTGTGGAATCAGATATCCCCAGAGGGTCCCCAGGACAATGGCCCCACTCAATTGAAATAACACCCAGTAATCTCTTTTATCCAATCCCGACTTTTGGACAATTTTTTTCTGACAATTATAGCAACCCTGCAGAAGAAAGATTATTATGCTCATAAAATATCATCTTCATTTTGAGATGAGGACACTGAGGCTCACAGAAGTAAGACATTCATTTTGCTCACATGATTAATAAATGGCAGGTTAGGGTTCAAACCCAGCTCTGACTCCAGATTCCCAGTTTAAACTGCCCAAGTTGGCTAGGTCCTAGGTGCACTTCCTGGCTCATACAAGTCCATCTAGGGGGAAACATTACTCACTCATTCATTTACTCACCCATTTAACGGAAATTGCTTCTCTCTTTTATCCTGCGTTTTAGGTGCTATGATGAATTGCTGTCCTCACTCAACCAACCCAGGACCACCAGGAACAAAGCCTACTCTGACAAAGCCTACAAAGTGATGTTCATTGACACATTGCAAAGACCACACACCAGCAGAACCATAGGGTATCTCCCCAAACAAAGGAAAAGAAAAGAATTACAGTATGGGGCATGGGGAAGAGTGGAATTTAAGCGAAATGTATTTTGACAGACTCAAAGCAAGATAGGTCTAAATGTAAAGGTATCATCCTAAGTTCTGGACTATGAAGCAGTTTGCTGGGAACAAATGGAACAAATGGAACACTATGAAGTGTTTGCTGGGAAGCAATAAGACTATTATCCATAGCTGTGGGCTACTGTGTCCAGAAACCCCTCCTCCAAAGCTCTCTCCCTAGGGTTTAAATCAAGGCTGCTTCTCTCTCAGTGACTTAGATCCTCCAGGCAAGGGTGAGATATTTCACTCTAACATCATTTCAAACAGCGATGTTTCTGATAGTCTAGGATTCTAGAGAAGAAAGGTTTCTCAGTGAGTCAGAAGACACTACTCACTCCAAGAAGGGGGTTTTTGTGACCCTTTACCACTACAGCATGCCCCTTGCGAGAAATATTATTTATTGTTCACTTTGAATCTGGTTTTCTCTTTTATTCCAGCCTGATGAATGGCCAAGGAAGATTTTAATAGTCCAGGCTAATTTTTACTTTCTCTCGTCTCAATGGGGGTGACAGACAATCAGGTCATTACAACACAGTGGGAGAAGCAGCTATGATGAGGGTTTAATTTAGACTTCATTTAGGTCAGGGAAGACTGTCTGCAGGAGGCAGACCTCCCAGCTGGGAAAAGCAGAAGCTGCCCCAACGAAAGTGGGAAGGGGTGTTAGAGCACAGTCAGGACTTGGGCAGAGGCACAAGAGTGGGGCACAGGGTGGTAAATTGGAGGAATCACAAGTGTCATTGAAGACGAATCAACAGAATGTCTAGAATGCTGGGGAGGACTGCATAAGACAGTTAATCAAAACTTACACCAAAGCACTGGTCACCGGGAGTGTGTGTTCTCTGTTCAGGGGAGAGTCATTAGCATGGTCTTCCTATGCACATACACGTGAAAGGCAAGTAGCCCCCAGAGGGGAAGTGCTAAGGGGGAGTTCCCCTGAGGTTTCCTAAGGCACCTGGTTTGCAAAGCTGATCCCTGTATGGAAAGTAGAGCCATTTGTAGACTTGCCCTGAACCATCCCATCCTGTTTCCTGAGAACATTTAGGGAATCAGGCTGGCCTTTAACCAATGCTGAGTTTCAGGAAAGGACGAGAACAACCAAGAAATAAAACTGCCCGGAAGACACAGGGTGTTCCTGAGAACTGGACATACCAGTGGGTGGTATCATTCAAGGTCCTGGGAGGGAACAGACTGCACAGTGAAACAGGACAGTCCTCTTTCTCGTCTCTTCACTGGCCAAAACCGATCAGGAACAGAGGGCAAGTAGGGCAAGGATTGAATTGGTTCAGGTGGACCTGGGCATCGGCGGTCATGTAGCTCTGCAGAGCACCGCGGTGTGTGGTCAGCACTGAGGGGGCCTCTCTTCCCTGGCCAAACCCAGTCAAGAACAGAGGGCAAGGAGGGCTGCCAAGGCTGTCCCTGGAGGTCAGCCTCCAGGACAGGGAGCAAGGTGGAAAAGGGAGAACAGTGGATTTGGAGGGACAAAGTAGGAAGTTCTAGAACAGGGGCTCATGCTAAGGCCTCTTTCTGACTTGTTCACCCTGGCACAGAGGTTTTTCTCTGCAAAACAACAGGTGGATTTGGGAAAGTGAGACAAAAGGGGTTGTCACTTACAGCACAGCAGGGAACAGCAGACCCTAGCACTGTGGACCTGGTGTCCTCAACAAACTGCCACCTTTGGAGACAGGTGCTAGAAAGCATTTAAAATTACTTACTAGTTTTAACTTACATTATTTAAAATGATTTCTTATTGAATTTAAAAAATTAATGAGTGTCCACGTCGGCACCCTTTGTTAGAGAAGCAGATCATGTTAGAGGGGCGACAGCCAAGTCTGGAGCCCGAAGCAAGTCTGGAAGGACACGAGTGTCAGGTGGAGACTTTATCCTGAGGGCAGTGTGGACCTGGAAGGCCTCCAGCAGGGAGTAGCATGTGGTACTGGCTGCTTTTGCTAGATTATTGCTGTGATAGGCAAACCCCTGCCCCTTCCCTTACATTACCAGGAAGGATTGCATATTAATTCTGCTGTCACCTGACTCCCTTGCCCAGATGGGGAAGACAACTGTTAAGCACTAGGGATGAAGAGGAGAAGCAAAGAAAGGGGAGTCAGAAAACAGGGACAAAAAACAGTATGTGCTTTTCAAGTTTGAGCCTTCAAGATATCGGTTGGAGAACTAGAAAATCTTGTTTCCAGGCATCACATTCTTCAGTTCCTCTGCATTTTTCTAAGCTTTGGAGGAATGTATAAACTGGTTTCCAAAAATGTCCTGCGTTTTCTTTCAACAAAACTATTGAACACCTGCTATGTGTCAGGTCTCAAGAGAACAACAGACAAGAAAACGTGGGCTGCCCGAGAGCCCCTGACAGCCTTGCAGAGCGACAGATACATGCGCAGTTATTTGCAAGTGTATGGCTGAGCCTCTAAAACAATGCAGGCCATGTTTTAGACCAAAGAAAAGGATAGCTAGAATTATTATAGGTGCATAAAATTGAGTAAATTATAGTCCTTGTTTCATGGTGCTTATCGTCATCAGCCTGTTTTATTTTTTACAATTCAATTCCCACTTATGTTTCTCCCCACAGACATCCACTTTGATGGACTTAATAAGTATCCTTGGATAGGTTGGGTTGGCATCTTTATAAAATCATACAGACATGGTGTCACGCCATAGATCTTAATCTGCTGCTGCTTTCACTCAACACTAATGTTTTTATTATTTTAAGTTATGGGGTACATGTGCAGAACGTGCAGGTTTGTTACATAGGTACACATGTGCCATGGTAGTTTGCAGTACCCTATCAACCTGTCAACTAGGTTTTAAGTCCTGCATGCATTAGGTATTTGTCCTAATGCTCTCCCTCCCCTTGCCCCCCACCCCCAACACTAATTTTTAAGATCTACCCATGATGCACACGCACATCTAGTTCATAGGGGCCTAACTGCTGGAAAGTATTCCACAGGTTGTATCTATTCCATAGTATTATCCATTCCCTGAGCAGTAAATGCTCAGATGCCTCCAATTGTCTTACTACCACATTAATCTGAAATGAATGTAGCATCTGTAGACTTGTCCCTTTATGGACTGTGAGCAAATTTCTCTGGAGCATTTACCCAGGAACGGGCTAAATAAGTCATGGGGTATATGTGACGTCCAGAAGTATTGGCATACTGCTCTCTAGACACTCAAACTTGGTATTGTCTGCCTCTTTAATGTTTTGGGCCTTTTTTTTTTTTTTTTTTTTCCTAAGACAGAGTCTCACTCTGTTGCCAGGCTGGAGTGCAGTGGCACGATCTTGGCTCACTGCAGCCTCTGCCTCCCGGGTTCAAGCAATTCTCCTGCTTCAGCCTCCTGAGTAGCTGGGACTATAGGCACGTGCCGCCACGTGCAGCTCATTTTTTGTATTTTTAGTAAAGATGGGGTTTCACTATGTTAGCCAGCATGGTCTCAATCTCCTGATCTTGTGATCCGCCGCCTCAGCCTCCCAAAGTGTTGGGATTACAGGCGTGAGCCACTGCACCCCGCCCAATATTCTTGGCTTTTAAGTTGTGTCTTGTTTTACTTTATTATTTTTTATTTTATTTTTTTGAGACAGAACCTCACTTTGTCACCCAGGCTGGAGTGCAGTGGTGCCATCTTGGCTCACTGCAGCCTCCACCTCCTGGGTTCTAGCAATTCTCCTGCCTCAGCCTCCCTAGTAGCTGCAATTACAGACAAGCACCACTACATCCGGCTAAGTTTTGTATTTTTAATAGAGATGGCATTTCACTGTGTTGGCCAGGCTGGTCTCGAACTCCTGACCTCAGGTGATCCCTCCGCCTCAGCCTCTCAAAGTGTTGGGATTACAAGCATGAGCCACCGCACCCCTCCGTCTTGTTTTATTTTGGTATCCAGCGAAGTTGAGCAATGTTAGCCATTTCAATTTCCCCTTGAATATACTTTGTGTATTTTTCTATTGGATTTACTTTAGATATTATTTCTGTTACTTTTTGATGATATAAAAATCTCCCTTTCTGTAAGCCAATTGTCATCTTTGTCTATTATATCATATTAAAAATGAATTCTTAATTGTGGTGTAATATAATCCATTAAACTTTTTTACCCAATTGTTCGTGGTTTCTGAGTCTTGTAGAAATCCTTCAACCCCACCTCTCTTCTACCCCCCAAAAGATACTCTTCCTACATTTTCTTTTTTTAACTTTATAGTTTTATCTTTCCATGGGATCTTGGTTGATCTGAAATTCACCTTCACACAGAATGAGGTAAGGACCTAATTTTACTTTTCTCCAATAGTGAGGCACTGTTGCCTTTCTTCACTGACTTGTGGTGTCAGCCTCATATATCAAGTTCTCATGTACACAGCTTTGCTTCTGAGCGCTCTGTTCTGCCCCATTAAGCTATTTACCCACAATCATGTACGATAATGCTTTTGTTGCTGTGGCTTTGCAGTATTTGTTGATATCTGGGAGTCTCATTGTCCTTCTTGTCTTTCCTTTATGAAAATGAACCTAACTATTCATGGGTATTCCCTCTTCTATAGACATTTTTTTTCATTTTCTCATTTCTACTTTTGTAGAGATGGGGTCTCGCTATGTGGCCCAGGCAGATCTCAAACTCCTGGCTTCAAGTAATCCTCCCACCTCATCCTCCTGAAGTGCTGGGATTACAGATGTGAGCCACTGAGCCCAGCCAACAAACATATTTAAAGTTGTAAATTCAAAGGTATACATTTTGACATACAGTACCTGGAATCCATTTGGAATATATAAAATATTCTCTTTAGGCCTGATGAAATCTGTGTTTTCATGTCCACATGCTTTGCCTCAGATATTCTAGTTCTTGGAATTTGTCCTACAAATATAATTGTCCAAGTGGGTAAAGTTATATTACAGGCTTTTATTGTAAACATCCTAAATGTTCATCAGTAAATGAATTATGTAAGTTTCCTGTGGCTGCTATAACAGATTACCCCAAACTTGTTTGAAGCAAACTTATATTGCTTAAAACATAATAAATGTATTCTTTCACCATTTTGGAAGCCAGAAGTCTGAAATCAATATCACTGGTCCAAAATCAAGGTGCCAGCGGGGCCACATGTCCTCTGGAGGCTCAAAAAGGGACTCCATCTCTTATGTCTTCCAGCTCCTGGTGACTGCCCACATTTCTTGTAACCTCCACAGCCCAATCTCTACCTCTGTCTTCATCGCCTTCTCTGTGTATGTCAAACTCCCCTCTGCCTCTCTCTTATAAGGACACTAATGATTGCATTTAGCACCTCCCCACACCCCCCCGCTCAATCATACAGGATGATCTCCCCATCTCAAAATTCCTTTTTTTTTTTTTTTTTTGAGACAGAGTTTCACTCTTGTTGCCCAGGCTAGAGTGCAATGGCACAATCTCAGCTCACTGCGACCTCCACC